GAATATTTATTAATTAAATTCGGATTTGCCACGGTTGATTAAATACAAGTTGATTTTAGCTGGAAATTTTACAATTTATATCAAAAATGTTCCCGTAAATTTTGCTACGATAAGTGCAAACATATCTGTGCGCATGTGGCAAGCAATCAATGTAATTGTGGCAAATAATTTAATTGCGTAATTATGGTTATTAACAAGTTTTGAAAGTTTTGAAAATTTGCGCATTTAACAGTTTTGAGGCTGCACTCAATGCAGCACACAATCGTGTGTTTGGTTAGGCAACTAGCGGCAGGAAGCGCCCACTATTAAAAGTTTGGCCGTTACATAGCTTGTTAAGTGCCACTGAATGGCCGATGCGAAGAACCAACCAGTGGGGTTGCAAGTGATGACGCAACAAGAGCGCATCTATTGTGAAGCCCTTAGTTTACTATTAACAACAATTACATAGTTTTGAGCCCTTTGGGCTCTTACCTCCCCTTGACCGACAAGTACACGTCGACGCAGCTGCATCATTTCTTGTTACAGTTATTTGGTTAATCGATTTTGTGCACTGGCACATGCGAAAGTGAAGATCGAAAATTGAAATCTTTTAAATTACAGTGTGTTGGCCATAAGAAACTTTATTAGCTGATTTGATTTTTTTTTTCAAATTATTTGGTCTCTAAAAAGTCAAATATTTTTAATTTATTCTCACAGAAATTATAAAATGTCAACATCTATTTGCATGTGAAACCGTTTTCCATACGAAGTAAGCGATAAAAATGCTTCGAGATGCAAACAAATTTACTAAGAAAGAAAGTTGCAAAAATTTTTATTTCTTCCAATTTCAATTTATAATATTTGAATTTTATATTTTTTTTGTGTATTTCAAAATTTCCGCTATGAAATCAAGTAAACCTCTCCTGAGCCCGGCGTTCACTCACACCAATTGCTACTTCACCAATTTCTTGGCAGGGTTTTTGTCTTCACTATAACTGTAGCCTGAAATGTCACCTGGATAAGAGTTGCCAGCTGTATAGGCATCAATAACACATAGTGACAAAAATTATCTTCCCGGGTTTCTCATCTTAAATCTTTTCATTTGCTATTTATAGAAATTGAAAAGATGTTCGTTCATACTTAATTGGAAGGCAACATATTTTTCCTCCTCACAGCCTTCCCATTTTCTTAATCGAGCAAAAATAGCTGCCGCTAAGCCTTCGCGGAAATTTACCGCACTTAAGTAGTAGCTGTTGCGTTGCTCGGGCGTACATAAATCACTACCCATCTGGTATATATTTGCCTTTAATCCCGGCTAAACAAGTTTGGAAACATATGCATACACGAGTTTCCATGTTTGCATATGACTTCATTTATATGTATTAAATATGCACCTACATACATCTGTCGGCAAAATTTTTCTTTAAAAAGAAAAACCAACGCAAGACACAAATCCAAAAATCCATTATTCATGAACAACATTTTTAGGTAGACCAAACAAAAGGTGCTAGCAAAGCAATGCAAAGAGTTACTTCGTCGAAAGCTTATGAAGTCTTTGCTGATTTATAAAAATAAACACAACTACAAACCTGCCTGCCTGCCTGGCAAAGAGTGCAACATACACAGATACATACATACATACATATGTAACACCCAGGGCTGCAGTATTTAGTAGCGATAAAATTTATGTACTGCCCTCCTTTCTGCAGGTGCGAAGATATGAAGTGACTTTATCGACTGAAAGGTGCTATGCTGATGGCTGGAAAAAGCTATGCATTTCCTAATCTAAGCTTAAAACTGTAAATGTATTCATATTCTTACAGGACATAAACTACAACTGCATGAAAACAAAAGGAAGTGTGTAAAATTAATTACAATTAATTAAAAATATTATCAGCTTGAAAGTTTTCTTAGAACTCTTTCGTTTGACACTAATATTACGATATTTCGTTCAGCACGTTTTTAATCAGAACAAATTCGACCTTTCAAACGGGTGGCAACCCCCTTAAAAGTATTTCCAAACTTAAATATTTTTAACTTTTTTCGTCTGGCATTGTGATACATATTTCAATTAACTCATGCATTAAGTTGAATTAGTTTTTTTAACACGTGGCAACTCTCCTAAATACAGTCCAGAAAAAAATTATTTTCAAACCCATTTCGATTGATACCCATCTCTTGACAATCCATTTAACTTATTAAGTACTTTGAATTAAATTTTTTCAACAGATGGCAACCCTAAAAATTCTAAATGTTCAAACTTAAGATATCTGAGCACTCTTTCGTTTGATACCCATATTTTAAAATTCTATATAACCTGTGTATATTTAAACTAAATTCAACTTTCAAAATAGGCGGCCACCCCCTTAAAAATTTGTTTCCGATTTTAAATCTCCTTAAATATCTTCCGTCTGACTTTGTGATAAATATTTCAAGTAACTGATGAATTAAGTTGAACTTTATGTTTTAAACACTTAGCAACCCTCTTAAATATAGTTCAGAAATAAGGGGTTTTTAAACTCATTTCGATTGAGAACCATCTTTTAATAATTCATTTAACTTATCAAATAAATGGCAAACCTCTTCAAAATATTTTCAAACTACTACCTTCTTGAACCTCTTTTGTTTGACACCCAAATGGTGCTACCTAATCCCTTTCACGAAAATTGCATTCGATTTTTAAACATGTGGCAACCCTCCTGCACGTAGTTAAGATATAAAGCCTTTTCAACACCAATTCGGTTAATACCCATATTGCAACAATTGATTTAACTTTTTACTACCAGAACCTCGGTGGGTAAAATTGCAGCCTTAACTAAATCATATTTTTGGTCGATGATTTTTACAGGTTAAGGGTGTTTGCTAGCCTCACCAGGGTCCAATTTCACGGTTGACAACTCAACATACCTCCCGTAACGCGCTGCCAAAAAATAGGCCTTAACTAAATAATGACGAAAAAGTGTCACTGGCTCTTAGACTAATATTAAAGGCTCGCTCGTAATGTGGAAACTGTATCGGGCACGCTGGTTGAGCTGTGGGCTTTAAGTGTACAAATTACCGAGGTTGTAATGTGAAAGATTTAATTCATCGTAAGGAATGTTCAGCGGTGTTGCAAATAAGCTGATTTTTTGCGCCGCTTTTCTTCATTGCTATATCAGAAAAAAAATACTCTTCAATTTTCACATAAAAAATCTTATCTTGAAAGTTATCCTTTGAATTGGATTGTCACATTCAATTAAATTATTGACAAATTTCATAAATGCCGCTAGTAAACCTATGGAAGTAACTGATAAGCAGCAGCAGTTCGTTCACATTAAAATTGTAATAAAAAAGAAGAACTTGTATGTAAATTTGCATAATTATAGAAAGCCAGAGCTTCAGAGATACATACAACAACCAAAACGAAAAAATGCTGACTTGCTTAACAGGCAGTCTTCAGAAGCACATCGTACATAACAAACATCTATCTACACCTCCGAATGTTAACCAAACCAAAGTGCAGGGTTTCATTTGTATGCAAAGGCAGCCATGCGAAAAGAAAATAATCGCACAAGCACCCACTCACACAAAAAAAAAAAAAAACACAACTACAGATAAATGAGAAAATGCGCGTGCAAAACTTCGACTTACAAAAAAGACCAAAAACCGTTTGCCTGGTTAACAATATAACAGCGAAAAGGCAAATAACGTCAATTTGATTTAATGGCCAAAGTGAAGTGAATTTTCCAAGCTACAGATGTAAAAATATGCGCCAGTCGTTGAACCGCTAAGGAGGCCCTTCATTATGGCGAGACATTGCTGTCTGTCGCCAGCTGATGCCAAAAATTTTGTTTGCGCAAGTGAAAGTTTTTTTTCTTCTTATTATTTACTTCGAAGACAGCGCTGCCGCACAAATTCGCCAGTTGGAAATTACAGCATTCAAAGGAGAAGAAGAAGACGTCTGCTCCACAAAGAAGGCAGAGAATTACGCGCGGAAGTCATTTTCGACGCGCCAAGAAAATTTTTGAATGAAAAACAGAAATGTGGAAGCGTGCAGACAAGTTACACACAAGGAAAAATGTATACATATATATGTATATATATTTTAATGCTATTGACAAGTACTACAATACTCGTAGGCATCCAGCGCCAAGGTCCACCACGTGCGCTGCGCGCTCACTTGCATACAGCCATATGTTCCACATACGCCGTGACGACCTATGCATTCCACAGTTCATTGCCTGTTGCCAGCGATTAACTGTCAGTTTGTATATGCTGTTGTCTTGAAGTGGTTGTTGTTGCTTTTGTTTTGAATGGCGCGCGTAAAGCACTTCTTAACGGTTAATTGGATGCCGAGAAAGTTAGTCCTTCGCACGGTTTCGCGGGCAACAGACGTGTTTCGAAATCGGTCAGCGGTTATCTATAGTAATTGGTAGCGGTGACAAATACACAAACAAAAAAAAAAATAAAAATTTGAATTGTGATAAGAGTTTTGTGTGGCTAAAATGCTGAAGCAATGATTCAAAGATACAGTAAATATTGGCAACGAATAACAATAGTGAATGCAAGACTTGAAAATTAAGTATGTTTGGAATTTTAAAAATATTAAAGGATATTGCCTTAAACAAGAAAAGGCACCGCAAAACTGAAGAATGCCTGAAATTTTAAGTTTATCAATTCTTACATTTTGGGTAATCCCCTAACTAACATTCTTTTTTAATTTGTTTATTTTTCATAAAGTTCTTATGTTTACAAGCTTTACGAAAAAGGCGTCAACTTAACAGCTTTTGCTTCAAGTTAATGAAAATATAACTAATTTGAAGCTATTTAGAAATAGTGAGATCGAAATACTCATACTTATTTATATTTAGGTACGATAAAAGGTGCCAATAAGTGCAAAAGAGAAACAAAAAATAGTAACAAGCGTAAATAATTGCATTAAAATTAACATAAACGATGAACATGCTTAATTTTCTATAAGTAATACTTTAAAATTGAGCTTTTTATTAAGAAAATTATTTAATATTGTCTACTGGCGTAATGGAATACAAAAACTAATTTGCTTCGCAAATAATGCCAAATACCGAAGTAATCGGATGAAAATTATTTGAAAAAAATTATTTACAACAAGACACAAGTTCTGTCAATAACAGTAATTATATAAGGAAAGGCGCTAAGAACAACTGAATAAATATGTAAGTAGTTTTTTTTGTATAAAAATGTAATTATGGGCATAATTATAGTCGAAAAAAGTCGACTCTAAAGTTAGTTGCAGTTTTTTTTTTTTTTGTCAAAAGGTGGTAACTAAAGTTAGTGTCGACAAAATTTTTTTATTGCATTTTTTTACCCACATCAAATTACACCGAGTGAGTTGTGCAATTTCCTATAAAAAGAGGACGAACAATTGGAGAATAACCCTGAAATCCGTAATCGAATGTCTGCTTTACGGCAACTTTTACTCTTCTAAATGCGCAATGAAGGCTTTTGGCAAAAACCGTGTCGAAGTGAAATAAAACTTAAGTTAATGCATGTGCATTAGCGTGGGCCGAAAATCCGCTTTTTAAGAATTTTGATTGACAATAACAAAAATATGGTTCATTATGCTCTGAAATAAATCTGTGTGAAATGTGAAAATTTTTGGTTAATATCCTGGGCTCGGCAATATCCACCAAAGTTCAAGTACTAAAATTTTTTTTAGCTAACTTCGATTCTCTACAAAAAAGGTCCATATACCAAATTATGTAGGACTAATACTTTCGAAGATTATTGCAATTTTAGTTATAAAAATATATATTAATTAATTTATTTATTAATTTTTACTTTTTGAGCATATTGAACTTTGATGGACTTGGGCGAGCCGACCGAAATATTGACCGAAAAATTCCAAATTTCACACCGATTTTTTTTTTTTAAACATAATGAATCATATTTTTGCTATTACCAATCAAAATTCTAAAAAAGCGAATGTTCGGTCCACGCTAATGTGCATACCTATGTGTGCATGTATGTATGTATATAAATTTGTGTGCTGCTGAAGGAAAATCCGAAATTTTAAGTTCGGAATTTAAATTGTTTGCAATTCAGTGCTGAGCAGCACTTGACTTTCACCAACGGATGTTTCATTATTCAAAGAAAAACTTTAAGTAATTTTGCATTTCAAGCAAAGAAAATTTATAATATTTATGAACTTCAGGTTGGTTTTCACTATGTCGAATTCAATGGCATGGCCAAATAAGACTAAAAGAAACCATATCGACTGATTTAGAACAAAAAATGTTCTCAGTCGTGTAAATGCCATCCGGCTATCTGTCAGTTTGTGAACCTTAATCTTAGCAGTGGGCAGTGAGGTGGTCCAGGTGTTAGAGAAAAGAATTATACTATTGGCCTGAGAAGCTTCTTAAAGGATACTGATGCCATCATGGAGAGAGAGTTTGTACGTATTTATATACTTTTGCTTCTGCTCCGGCTTTAGCTTCCGTTTTTTCTTTTTCTTCTTATTTTTTATAGCTTTGCATCTCTTTCTTCGAGGTTTATCACAACTGTCAAAACCACTTAGAGTGATTTTTTTTTTCTAGACGAGAAAACTGATCAAACAAAAAAATATTAAATTGTCTTTTCCCATTTTTTCACCGACTTCAAAAAGAAGGAGACTTAAAATTCATCGGAATATTTTTTTCGTTACTTTTTATGTATGCTTTACTATGTTAACGGATTCTAATAATTCCTTATTTTTATGGGAAAGGTTTAGTTTGAAAGTTGGTCCCGTATGAATTTGGCCGAGTTGTGATGATTGCCCGAAATATATTTTTTTAATTACACAGTATTTTTTTAACACAAGGTTTGTTGACAATTTTTGAATAGAGAAAAACGGGTAATTTTTAATTTCAATCTTCTGCTGCCAGTTTCCGAAAGCAAATTGTATCAAACAATTTTTTTAGCTTCTTTTTTTATTTAATATAAAAACTGACGGAATTTTTTCATTAAGGTCGCTGGTAAAACCGGCAGTTAGATTTTCACAATAAACAAAGCTTAGATATAAAAGTATTTTCAGGACCTAAAGTTCCCGAAAAGTAACGAAGTGTCTGAAGTATTTCGAAAAGTTTTGAATGATTCCAAAAAAAATTTTGAGAAAATATTGAAAACATATCCGAAAAATTCCGAAAAAATCTCAAAAGCTTCAGAAAAATTAAGTATGAACCAGACCTGAGCGCGAGTGTGTTTTTGGCGCACACTCACGTTATGTTCTTCAGATTTTGGCTAACACGCGTCACGCATGGTTTTTCAACCAAAGTTTAAAAAAAAAAAAAATACATGTACAGTGGCCGGAAAATAAAAAAAGTACGCCGTATTTTAAGAGTTTTTGGCAACGCCACGCTGTATGTATATGTAGTTTAGAAATGAAGCCATTTAAAAATCACTTCGATTGATACCCATATTGTTATAATGAATTGAAATGATTGAAAATTTTGAAATTTACTTTTTAAACCGTTAATTCCTATAATTCAAGTTGAATTTGAATTTTCAAATATGTGGATTCCCTGCTATACATATGTTGCTTAGAAATAAAGCCTTTTCAAGACTCTTCCGATTAAAACCTAGATTGTAATAACTCATTAAACTTATAATATAATTGTATTCGAATTTAGATTTAAAACACCTCAGAAAACTTCAGAAAATTCTACATGCTCAAGCTGAACATTTCTAATTTAAACTCGACTTTTAAAACAGGTGGCAACCCTCTTCGAAGTATTTTCCTATTAAAACCTTATTAAATCCCTCTAGTCCGACGTCCATATTGTTATACATATTCCAATTATCAAATTCCTTTAATTCAAGAAGAATTTGTTTTTTCAAACAGGTGGCAACCATCCTATATGTTGTTTGGAACTAAAACCCTTTTCAAAAACCTTTCGGTTGATACCCATATTGTAGTAGTTCATTTAAATTAGATAAATTTAATTTTTAAACGGATGGCAACGCTTTGTAAATTACCTCAGTAATATTTTAAATGTTCCATCTGAAGGTTTCTTAGCAATCTTTCATTTGGCACCCATATATTAATTTTTCAGATAGCTTGCTAATAATTAATTTAAATTTAGCTTTTCCAACAGGTGGCAACCCTTTCCAAAATACTTTCAAACTGCAACTTATTTAAGCCTCTTGTCATCCATTCTTTAATATAATTTTCAAATAAATTATTCCCTTAATTCAAGTCTATTTTGATTCTTTAAACAGGTGGCAGCCCTCCTCCATGAGTATGGAGTAGATTTCATATATAGATATGTATCTATACCAAGTTCCTGTACTCTATCAAAAATATTTTTTGAGATATGATATGCGGTATGAAAATCTAGTTTTATGGGAGGTGCCACGCCCCCTCGTATAATCTATCCTATATTTTAAGTTGGGCTAAATGGCATCAGTGTACAGAATTTAATGGGAATAGGTTGAGTAGTTAAAGCGTAAAAGCGTAACAAATAAATAAACTAACTTACGGATTTATAATATAAGTGAGGATAATAAAAATTAAATAAACAAAAGAAAGAGCCAAAAGTATTACGATTTCTTAAAACAAAAATTCTTCGAAAATTTCGTAAAACAATCGAAGTGTGCACAATACATTTCGGCTTTGAAAATTCGGCCAAAACTCGGAAAGGGAATAAATGAAATAATTTCCTTACTATTTCTTTCAAATTGCTCTACTATTCGGAATTCTTTGAAAACATGATCTTCAGGTGTGATATACACACTTACGTTCAAAGCTATCTTTTTATACCAATCGCACACTAAGAATGAGATTGTGGTCTTCCTTTGCTCAATTAATTAAAAGTTATTTGTGGTACCATTTTAAGCTGCTTAGCGAAATGCCCTTAAGAAAATGCAGTCTAAAGTCTAATTATCTAGGATGGGCAAATATGTATGTATGTATGAATGCATTAAAAAAGAGAACAAAAGATATGCCAATTAACTTCTCATAGTCAGCAGAGCATCAAAGAAGCTCATTGTGATTTCAAACAAGATTTCATTTCGAGATGCTTGCATCAATAATAAGACTGGATTAATCTCGATAGCGCGTAAAAGCAATTTTGAGTAGTTGGAAATCAAGAAAAGTACGCTACTTAAAAATACTAAATTTACATATTTGAATAATAATTAAAAATTGGAAAAAAATAATAATCCTTTATCTGTTTTGAAACAAATGCATTTTTTACTTAGCAACCGCAGGGTAGATGAGTTAAGTCAAAATGGTCCTAATTTCTAACTTCACCACATTGAGAGGCTGGGAGAACGTTAAACAAATTGCCTTTGGCTAACTGAATGTCACCGCTTGGTTGTCGCCTGTCGCCTGTTGGCTGTTGGCTGTTGGTTGATGATAACTGATTTGATGCGGGTTGGCTCAGCTGTCGAATTTGTCGCATGTCACACGATATTAGTTAGCATTTGGGTTGACCAGAAAAAAATATAAAAGAACTTGGCAGCAGTTGTGGATGTAACTTGTAGAGCTTTGGAAAAAAAAACGCTAGCCAGTGGCAGTTTTTTTTATGAACTTGTTGGTGATTATTAAAAAAATTAATATCATTGATGTCATCCATTCATTTATTTTTCTCATTTGGCGCTGCAACGAATTGGACGAATCGGATAGGACCGAGACCAAGAAACTTCGCAAATTTCCTCTGCCTTTTGCAAACTTCCGCTAGTTGTTTACACCATGTGTAGGCAGGTCCTTCTGAAATTCGTTCGTCCATTGTGTTCGTGGGCGCCATGTGTCCAGAATCGAGGAATCTTGATGCTTTTTGCGGTCGTAATGAGGGTTTGATAAAATTTAACTTTTTAAATCGCAAAAATTTGACCGAATTGACTTTGAATTTATATAAATAAAATTCAATAAAGTTTTGCTTAATTTCCGCGATTTAAAAAAAACTAACCGCTACCACTAAAAATTTGTTTAAAATTTTTAATGTTTCGTGGCTGTCTTTAGTTTGTACGCAGAACAAAACAGGGTGTGCCATACAAAATTTAAAATTGATATTTTTAAGGACCACCCTAATGTATACATATGTTCGTTAAATAAAAGAAAAAATTAGTTTGTGCTTAAAGCTTTATAAATAAACATAAGGTCACTGATATTTGCGGGCATTATTACTGTTATTTCTTACTATACAGAGTATTTAGATAAATATATATGTATGTCTGT